CGCCACCCTGGAGCCAGCGCTCGCGCAGCACTCCCGCTGTGGCTCGCGCGACGAGTAGGCGAGGGTCGCTGGCGAGGGCGCGACGCGTCGCTCGGCTCTCGCCCAGAGGCGGGACTCCTTTATGAAACACACGAACAACTTATCATTTTGTTGTCAAGTTCAGTAACCCAGGCGCACCCTTGAGGTACTGCAGACAGGGTTTGCACGTTGCTGAATACTCGCCGAGCTGCAAGTCGCATTCTTTCTGCAACCGTAAGACTTCCAGGGAAGCACTAGACTTGCAGCAGCCCATGGCATCCTGAGTACTCCAGCGCACGCAGCCGGAGTGACTAGGATTGACTACTACAAAGAGAAATATTTTCCCTTTTGAACTGGGCTTAGGATGGCTTAGGGATGTTTAGGGTTTGCTTGCGCGGCTGTAAGCTGGGACTTTGCCAGCTTGAGTGGCAGCGAGGTACAAAACAGTGGTGTGCGTGCGACACTGTGACACCCGTTGGAATCAGTGAATTGGCAGACGCCAGCAACTTCGCACAAAGGCCTCGCAGGGGTCGTAGTGCTTGTGAAGCAAGTACCTTACAAAAGGACAAATCGAAAAATGCTCCCCACCATGGAGAAGTGGGTCAGTCCATGGTCATCACACTCGGGCTATGGCAGCTTGGCTGTGTGAGTACATACCTGGCTCTCTGTGGCAATTGGATGCAATTGGCTAACTTGCTGAGCAATCAGAGTCTGAGCAGCAATGCTTTTGTTAAGGTCCGAACCAGTGAGGCAGAGCAAGCCGTGTCAATTGTCATGCTCGCCCCCTGGGTTGGCAGATGTTGGTAGCGCCGTGCAATCTGCAAATGTTCCTTTTTTTGTCAATTCTCCTGTTCGTTGCCATCTGACACTGCCATGACGGGCCTTGAGGTTCATGCAGTAGTTGAAGCGATTGGCCGTGATGGCATTGGCTCCGCTTGACGCTGCGAAGCCACCAGAGATGTCCTGCTCCGGAAGTGATATTGACAAGTGATATTGACAAGGAGAAGCAAGCAGCTCAGTGACATTCGAAACCGCTTCTCTCCTTGGGTATGCTGTTCCATTCGTTCTTGTCCAGCCCAACAAAAACGCCAATGTTGGCAGGCTTGGCCTGCACCCCGGAAACCCGCGAGAGCTGCTTTGTCTCTTGGTCCATGAGCTTTTCCCCTTAGTTTGCCTGCAAACTTTTCTTGGTCCAACCAGCGCCCTGCAAGGAGATGTAGGAGACCTCGGGGTCCGACATCCTCAGTCCAAGCCTGTCAGTCTAAACTCTAGATTCCGGAACCTCCAACACCTGGCGCTGCGTCGGATCCATACCTACAGGAAGCGACCAAGTGCTGTCCCATGTCGCTTGGGGGCAATAGCATGGCAATAGCTGCAGTAACTTTCAACAGGCCTTGCCTCTGGCTTCAGCTGGGGATATGTCGAAGAAACGGCAATCAAAAAGTTCTATTCCTTGGGCAACCATTGCAACTCACCAATTCTGAACGCAAACAGCCAGTACGATGCCAGTACTTCAACTTTCACGTTCCATCAAATGCGAGCCCGTCACCATGATACGAATCATACTAGCGGAAGGATTTCTGAGAGCAGCCAACATGAAGAAACTGATCCGACTCAAGCGCAAGGCCAGGACACGTATGCCCTTTCTCAAACAAGTTTTTCCGATGCCTCCCGAGTCCGACCCCACCCCTATTGGAGGCAGATGCTCCAGACCCAGGCCCGCAGGGTTTGGACGCGGAAGCCCAAGTTTTATCCGATTCGAGGCCCCTATTTTTGACCATGTGAACCGATGTCTCTCAGCGGATGACGAAATTGTAGTGAAGCGCACGGGCGCACGTAATGACACAGTACGTACTGCTCCAGAATCCTGGCTCAGTGGCACAGATTGAGAGATAGTTGAAGCAGCCATCTACTCCTCACAGCAACAACAGTACGCAGGATGACAGCCCCTCGCTTGTGCTGAATTCGAAAAGCTGAGCATCTTGCGCTTGCAACACTTGCATGAGTGCAGAAGCATGCCGTACAGCGTGCCGAGCGCGAGGTGCATTGTGACGCCAGTGCGTGTGCAAACATTCCATTTCTGTGCGTTGCGAAGTTCATATTAAATATGTTTAAGTACAAGTCAGACTATGGGAAACACTGCAGTAGACACGCAGTGCATTGCGCTGCGTCTGCATCAAGACCCAGAGTCGTGAATACTACTGCAGTTGCAACAAGCAAAGCAGCTTCTGGGAGACCGTGCCATCAGAAAAACCGCCATGGCAAGTGTAGGACTTGCCAGACGTTTGGTCTGCGTCAGGATCGTAATACATATCAGGATCCCACCTGGCTGTGGGATGCCTGCCAATCCAGCAGCGTTTGCAAGTCCTAGGAAAGCAACAACCTCGAATAGCGGACCTTGTAATGGTGTCCCAGCCGGCTTTCGCGTAAGCCACCCAAGTCTTCCATGGTTCATCTACACCAAAGGCATATCTCATGCCCATGGACACGACCTCGAGCAAAATCCCACTGAACGTGGCATAAGGGCAGGCTCTGGAACCTTGAACTACCCCGAGCCGCAGACAGGCACACATTCTGTCGTCTTTGGCTGCGAGGGCCCGCTGATGGACTTGGCAATGGAGGCGAATAGGGGAATAGACCGACGACACTGTGCTATCAGGAGGTTTAGGTCCACACGCCAGTTAAGAATGTCAAGTCCCCAGTGATGTTGTCAATGACCTTGACATGGCAGGACACATGCCTTGATATCCTTGATGCAAGTGCACTCTCGTCGCGTGGTATACTTGACACCAAGAGAGCGAGGCTGGGGCATACTCGCGTGGAGCATCTAAAAAGAAAGCAGAAAGCGACAAGGCTTTCTCATCTGAGCTGCACGAAAACTTATACCTTCGCAGTTGTTGACAGCCACTCGCGACACTTTGAACTGTCTAAAACTTGAACGAGCTTGTGCCGCTTTGCCTGTCCATGCTGAAGATGCAAAGCATCCCCGGCAGGATGGTAAGCTGTGGCCTTCTGCATGGCACATTGCATAACAAAATGCACGGAATAGTGTCAAATTGTATATCAAACTCCGACCCTTCCACAACTCTTCCTGGGGCACGCACTCCACAGGATCCTGATCAGTGATGGCCTTTGGAGTCAGCGTCAGCGTAGTGGCACCAGGCCTGCACAACAGCTGCAGTAAACTCAAATGCCGTCTGAGGCAGACAAGCACGTCGAGCCCTGAATTGAGCAGGATCATGACTTTCGCTCGCCACCTTTGGAGAGCAAAATCAACCAAATCCATAAACCGTGTTAACTTCAGGGATCGCACATCATCGAGAGGAAGCTGGCAGCTTCTTCATTCTCGAGCTCTGGAGCGGAGTAGAGATCCTGAAGATGATTGGAAGACTATTTGTGTATGATCACTGCGCTAAAACATGCTCGTGGTCTGGCGTTACACTGCATTGGCGCCATGTCGTTCGACATGTCTACATGCATCTGACCAGCGTGTCTAAATCAACAGCTAACATTGGGCATGATCGGACGCCTCATCCTCGCTGAAAGGAAGTGACATCATCGTACCTCACAAAACTCTGCAAAGGGCCCGGTGGATGCTTGTAGCCTCTAGACTATGCGACAGCTACTGGCAGAAAAAGAAAAAGTCAGAAGACTGCAGTATCTCTCGCACCAGAATGCACTTAAGTCAGTGTACACAAGACAACGGCCCATCCTGATCAGGCCTTGCGCAACAAAATCAACTTAACCCATGTCCAACATCTCCTCATCTCAGCCTCTCTTGAAAGAGGAAACCTCTGGTGGCTACCTTACGATGACCTGGTGACCAAAATGCAAGAGGGCTCAACCTCCACCAGCACCGAGAAGGCCCTAAGTTTCAGGAGTCACGCAGCTTGCAGGTTTCATATTAAATCCCTCCAGGGCCAACATGATTAAGGTTGAGAGTTTGAGGGCTTGGGAAGGGGTTGAGGGCGAGCGCTTGAAGGCTTGGGGCCGAGGGTTGGGTTTCGGGTCATTCGGCTAATCCATTCCTGAAACGTAACGAGGCCAAGCCTACAACCTTTTGGGCCTGCGTCTCACTGGTGTCCAGCCCCAAAAGTGCCAAATTTCCGGGAGTGCAGGCGGAGTGGGGGAGTGGGGGGAGTGTGCGCGTGGAGTGGGCGAATGTGGAGATCTAGAGATTCAGAGGCCTTGTTATTGCTTCTGGCGTGGTTAGTGACCCCGCAGGTTTTGCATGCTTTGGGGTGCGCCGATCTGTTTCTGATGTGGAGGGGGTGGGCGGTAGCGTACAGACAAGATTCACGCAAGCCTAAACCCAACCCTTTACCCTTAACCCAAACTCTCGTCCCAACAGAATCTTGCAAGCCAAAACTTAAATCCTATTCCCTAAACCTCATCCAAAGAAACATCCTGCAAGCCCAGAACCCTTACCCTGAACGAGGGTGGGGGGGGAGGGGTGGGGGTGAGTGCGGGGGGGTCCGGAAGGTGGGAGGGGGTGGGGGTGGGGGCGGGGGTGCGGGTGGAGGGGTGTGGAGGTGGGGGTGGGGTGGGAGGGTGGTAGCGTACAGACAAGAATCACGCAAGCCCCACCCTCTACCTTAAACCCAAAACCTCGTCCCAAAAAAATCATGCAAGCCGAAACAATAAACCCAAAACCCAAAACCTCATCAAACAAAATCATGCAAAACCCCTAGACCCAAAACCTCATCCCACCATAAAATCGCGCAAGCCCAAAACCTTCAACCCAAAACTCCAAACCTCATCCCGAAAAAAACAACCCTACACAAAGTAAGTAGAGTAGACTGAACCTGCAAGCTGTCAACACCAGCATTTCCACGCAAAGTACACAACCTTGAACCCTTACCTGTGTGCTCGTCCAGAAACGTGTACCCTAAGCCCTTTCAAAAATAAGCGTCTCGCAAAACCTCTCGGAACCTGCAAATGCGCTGTGAATACCAGGATTTCCGAAAAAGAACTTCTTCAAGAATGCGGCTGCTGAAAGTCGAAAAATCGTCGACGTGCCAAAACGATGTTTGTTATTTACAGTGGATTCGAGCCTCAAACACTTCGGTGAGCCTCGGTCATCAGTAAAAATGGGGCTTTCGGACATGCACTCCAAAGCAACCACGCACAGAAACATCGCAAAAAGCGAGGTTTCGCACTTCACCGCCCCAAAAACAAGTTGCTTATTCAGCGTGGTCGTTAGCCAGGCCGTAACCTTGCTGTTGCACTTTGTGCTGGGCAAAGCTAGCACTTTATTAGCACCACACTGGTGCTTCAGGAGCAGTAGACGAGGGGCCGCTCCATATCGAAGACATAAGGTTGATACGGATCATGGTTCGCATCCCTCTTACATGCGAGCAGTGGCGAGCAGGGTAAGCGAAAGCCAGTACTCGGGAATTGCAGCTGCCGAAGCAAGGGCTGCGTCTTTTGAGTGTAAAGTGATTGTGAGTATCCTTGCGATGAAGCAAAATCTTAGGTCCGCGCGCACCGCGCACCCACCCACTGACACATCGAACAACCCACCCACCTACGCACGCAGGGATGCACGCGCAAACCTTCCCAAAACCTTCTCAGCGAGGCAGAACCCTGGCGCACTGCTTCGGCTATAGATATCGAAGCCCAGCTCGGTTTCTACGAAAGGTCGAAGTAATGTTCCAACCTAGGGCGATGACACGGACATACACAGACTGCATCACGACCAGGACAAGGTCACAAGCTGAGGAGGCAACAGTTTCTATAGCATCCTCAAAGATCTTCAAAGGGGACCTTCGTATCGTGTCGTAGCATTACTTGGATTTGAAAGATGGAATCAGGGGGCCGAGCTCTCGAAGGAAGTCAGCGGTGTCGGTGCTTTCCAGATCTACAGACAACGTCTTCCCTTTGCCATCCTGCAGAACTCCAGCTGGGACTTGGTTCAATTGATGTGCTTCATATGCTTGGCTGCTCCTTGCCCAAGTAGCCTGTCTCAAGCTCAGGGGCAAGTCGGGAAAACGCCCCGCCCTCCACGCACCTGCAGAAAGCTGAATCAGATTCTGAGTTGGTGAAAATTTCTCACCATCAGGATTAGAAACACCCTTCTAACAGACCTCATCATGCGACGGTTTAGCGCAGCTCTCCAAGCCTACGTGGATGCTTGCATCCCAAACCCTATGGTTCCGGCTCTGAAGTCGGAAGCCCGGATCCCAAAAGAAGAGAGCCTTCAACCTACATGAGTAAGTTTTGCTTAAAGTCTTGATCAGCCTGCAAGCAGCAATGGCTGAGTTGTAGACTGCTTCACCATGCTTCAATACAGCGGAGGGGAAGGCTGAAAAAAGGGAGGCAAGGATTGGAAAGGGCATCTCTGCGGATTTGAATACGACTTTCGTTTGGGGTTGAGATGTTCGGATGAGTCTTTTCCACATGTTAAGGGGTTGATTACGATTGTCTAGGGTCTACGGGATGTCGTTCGGGCTTTACAGGGTCCCAGGGTCAACCGAATCGCACTTTGCCGGCCCTGTGCACAGGACTTGTGAGGCACGGGCGGAAACAGATCTTGCGTGAAGTCTCTCTTGGCTGTCGAGGGGCAACAAGGACCAAAAGAATTGGAGGAAGGAGCAGGAAAAGGGAGGCTGACGGTGTACATTGGTGTTGCGGCTTCGGATTCCCAATTCTTCGAAGATGGAACCTGCGGATCCAAAAAACTTTGACTGGAACTGGAGACCTAGACGATTTCGAGCCCATGTGCCCCACGTCCCTCGCGTCCCTCGAGTCCCCCCCCCCGCATCCCTCGCATCCCCCGCATCTCAGGCTGCCGGGGGAACGAAAAAACTAGGACAGACGATCCTCGGGGTGTAGAAGTGACACAAATGTCTGACCATGTAAGGCACAAGTGATGGGTCTACATTGTGGATATTTGTGGATACTAAGTGCGCAGTACCAAGTTTGCGGGAGTGCCTGTCTGCCGTGCTCACCATCTCTGTCAAGTCTTCCGGTGCGATGAAGAGCTTGCAAAGGGCGTACCTCGCATCAACATTTGCACCTCCGAGACCTCAGCCGGTTCTCCTGATGTTGCCCTGAATGCCATCGTACCCTTTCTGTGAGAGGTTGTCGGTGAGCTCGGCCCCCATGACACCGGTGTCTGACCTCACAGGCCAAGGCTATCATGGAGATCAGAGAGTTGCCGGGCAAGATCCGCGTGCCAAAACAGGTATGACGTCTATGACGACTTCACAGTGGGGGACGCAGGTCCCAAAGCAATGTCGCAGTCCTGCAGATCTTCGGCTGACAGAGGCCTGCGTGGATTACACTGACCCTCCCCGCGCACACTCACGTGACAAAGGAGCGGTGCCCACCTGAGATTGGACTCCGGCACCGTAACCTCACAAAGCGTCATTGGCTTAATTCATGTGGCGGTTCACAACATACCAAACCGCAGACAGCTCTCGGCTCTGATGTTCCGACGGCAAGGAGGATCGAAGCAGCCACGAATCAAGAAACGAGTATGCAGGCTCGACTTCTCTTGACCTCTTCTTGTTTTACTATCCATTGCTGCTGTCCAGGGAGTCGATCCCATCTATAGCGTAAGTAGAAATGGCACATCCTCAAAACAGAGTGACAAAGAAAGGCCCTGGCCATGTCCGCGGAAAACGTGGCGACCGTCCATTCACCTGTCTGCTCGGTGAAGTCAATGAGCTGGCCCTGCGAAAGCAGTTGCTAAAGCTGCTCAAGTAAGAAAAGAAAAAAGCGGAACTTTATTCCCCACATCTGATTTTGAATGTGGCGGGCTCCAAATTGGTGCAACCTGCGATCTTTCAGCAAAGCCTTGTGTGAAGCCTCGTGTCTGCATTGGTGCAACTTTGAATCAGCTTGTGTGCAGTGCGACTTGGTGTGTGAAGCTTCGTGTATGCATTAGTGCGACTTGGAAGGATATGAGTGCATTCGGGTTCGTGGAGGATTGTGGAATGCGACATTGTGCGAAGATTGCGACTTGATGCGACTTGATTGATTGCGACTTGATGTAGGATCTGTGTGTGTGCGACTGTGCGACTTGCATGCATTCGGGTTTGTGAGGTATGTGTAAGGGTTTAGGCTTTAGGGTTTAGGGTTTAGGGTTTAGGGTTTAGGCTTTAGGCTTTAGGCTTTAGGCTTTAGGCTTTGGGGTTTAGGGTTTAGGGTTTAGGCTTTAGGCTTTGGGGTTTAGGGTTTCGGGCTTAGGGTTCGCCAGTGAAGTTGGCGCCTAAAGCACTTGAGGAAAGTGTCTTTTGATAACGCGATAACAGCGTCCCTAGGCTGTAGCCTTGCATGAAGGGAGTTCGTCGATGTCGTATGGGGCTGTCCTTCAACTTTTAGATCGTTTAAAAAAGGTTTTATAGCGCGTTTAGGGTTTAGGGCTTAGGGCTTAGGGCTTAGGGCTTAGGGCTTAGGGCTTAGGGCTTAGGGCTTAGGGCTTAGGGCTTAGGGCTTAGGGTTTAGGGTTTAGGGTTTAGGGTTTAGGGTTTAGGGTTTAGGGTTTAGGGTTTAGGGTTTAGGGTTTAGGGTTTAGGGTTTAGGGTTTAGGGTTTAGGGTTTAGGGTTTAGGTTTATTGAAATTGTATAGGGTTTGGATCCCAATAACGTTTTGACCGAAACGTTTTGTACGAAACGTTTTGAACGAAACGTTTTGCTTTTTTTGGAGCTAGTGTTTGATTTTTCAAGGCAGTGGGGAGGGGAGGGAGGCGGATGAGGGAGGGGATGAGGAGGGGATGAGGAGGTATGAGGAGGGGATCCATCTAATCCGCCGAGGCTGGACATTGAGATCCTAGTCAGGGAACCTTGCAAAGGTAACCTTGCCCTAACCTCTCAATCCCCCCTGGCCGATCGGTGTCCGGTCGCCCACTTTCTTGTGTCAAGTAACAGCCACCCGCCATAACCTTCTTGTACCCCCCGCCAAACAGATGCTCCTTTCATATCCTGCAGTCGTTGCTTCCTCCCCCAAGAACCTCCTACCCCCCCTGCACTGCACTGCCCCTGCTCCCTCCTCACCCACACTCGTCCTTCCGCTTAGCCGCCCGGGCGCCCTGGCCAAGGCGGCCTCGCAGTTACCTTGGCCTCATGAAAGCGTGAATCAGTGAAAAGCTTGAAACATCGTTCGCCAGCTTGCCTGCTGGCCATTGAAATCTCGGGCACCTCGGTCACCATCTTGTCTCCAGCGATCTGAAGTGGACTTCGGTGCCTCTGCACGCAGGGAAAGAAGCCGACCAAAAAATAGACATAAGTGAGCTGCAAAAAAAATCTGAACACGTTAAAAGGTCGAAAGTGGAGGCCTGTAGCCCGGTGATCTCCACCAACTGACCACGCCTGACCAGCAGTCAGCACACTAACTAGCGACAAGCGGTCACCCAATCTGCCAGTGCCACGTGAGCCGAGCGGGAGAAGCCATGTTCACAACGTGGCCTTAACAGGATGGACTCTGAATCAGAACGACTGATTCGCACATAGACCGGCCAAGACACGTGGCCCGGATCACATGACGGCTCCCACCCTCTCCTTGAGAGAGTGCTGCATGTCACGAAGTTGCGCCATCTGAGCAGGAATCCCCCTTCTAGCCGAGGCCAAGCGATGGCAATTGGCCAGGGCGACCCCTGCCACAACATAGAAAGGGATGAGTTTTGACATTGATTTTGGCACTGGCAGAACATGCATGGTTTCGATGCACTGTAAGCGCGCGGTCGATGCGTGGAAAATCTCGACCGCACGAACGTGCATGAAGACTTTGGAACAACCTTCTACTCAAGGCTTCCGTCGCCAAAGGCAGTTTGTAACGCTCAGCCGGGCGACAACTTGTTAACGAGCGCAGTGATGGAGTGCAGGACAACATTGCATGATGTTGCTGGTTGCCTCCCTGCGCACATCAGAACTGCGTACACGCTCCTTTGGACCAATGCATCGCAAGCTTTACATTCAAGGAGGATGGATCATCAAATGTCCAGCTCTTTCATGAGCTCCTGCAACAGCACGAAACCTACCAAGCTCCGGGAACACAAGCCCCCTCGCAGCTCAGAAGCCAAAAACCAGGTACAACAAATGTGCAGACGAGTTCACGAGTTCACATGATCCTCTGCAAAAATGTAACATCTTGATTTGCGTCTTCTACCCAAACACACAATTCCCAAAAGGCCAAAAAAATCGCTCTTGGAAAAGCGTAGTTCGCGCCCTGACAAGTCACTTTGTAAAGGCTCAGGTACCCCGGTCCTTTTGTTCATTGTGTCGCAGAGTTGGTTTTTAGACTGCGCTGCATGCAGCCAATCAACCAAGCAGCCGATCGGCTGATCAACTGATCGGCTGATTGCCTGATCGTCTGGTGCTGCTACTACTACTACTACTAAAGGATCTGTCGACAGCGTGGTCATGTGTGCACAAAGCACAGCACGTCATTACCCCCCCCCCCCCCCCCCAACCCCTCAGCGTGGTCATGTGTGCAGAAAGCACAGCACGTAATTGACCCCCCCCCCACCCCCCCCCCCAATCCGTCGAACGCAGAGAAAACAGGATAAAACGAGAGAAAAAGATAAAAAACAGCAGAAAACACCATGATCAGTTAAGAGCGTGTCACCACCTACTACTACTACTACTACTACTACTACTACTACTACTACTACTACTACTACTACTACTACTACTACTACTACTACTACTACTACTACTACTACTACTCTACTACTACTACTACTACTACTACTACTACTACTACTACTACTACTACTACTACTACTACTACTACTACTACTACTACTACTACTACTACTACTACTACTACTACTACTACTACTACTACTACTACTACTACTACTACTACTACTACTACTACTACTACTACTACTACTACTACTACTACTACTACTACTTACTACTACTAGTACTACTACTACTACTACTACTAACTACTACTACTACTACTACTAGTACTACTAGAACTACTACTACTACTACTACTACTACTACTACTACTACTACTACTACTACTACTACTACTACTACTACTACTACTACTACTCTACTAGTACTACTAATACTACGACTACTACTACTACTACTACTACTACTACTACTACTACTACTACTACTACTACTACTACTACTACTACTACTACTACTAGTACTACTAACTACTACTACTACTACTACTACTACTACTACTACTACTACTACTACTACTACTACTACTACTACTACTACTACTACTACTACTACCTACTACTACTACTACTACTACTACTACTACTACTACTACTACTACTACTACTACTACTACTACTACTACTACTACTACTACTACTACTACTACTACTACTACTACTACTACTACTACGGTTGTGCGTGGTGTTTGTCGGCAAGCAGATACAAGGCCAGGACAGCAGTTTTCCCGGGGCACGTCTTCTTCTCGCCGTACGGTGATTGCTATCACCTGAAGGATGACTGCCACACTTTGAGAAACAGGCCTACAGTCAAGAACCTTTGCACGTACTGCCTGGATAGGGCCCAGCGGGCAAACCTCCCACGGCCAACGCGCTAAGCGCCGAGGCTTCGAGCCCAAAGGGGGTGTAGATGGTCAACGTTTTGTGGGCTCTCAGTTTTGCTTAGGAAGTATGTAGTGTAGAGGTCAGCTCTGTTTTCCCGCGTTGCCACGCTTTTAAAGTGTTTTGCATTAGTGTGAAGCTGTGCAAGCACCTTGAGTGGCTTTTGAGTTGTGTGAGCTGTCTGCGACTATGTAGCTTCGCCTTGAGAGAGTGTTTAAAGCCCAGAGTTTGACCTAGAAAGCCCCACATGCAAACGCATGTTGTTTGGCTCAAGACCGGAGTCTCGTGCGAGAGCGAGAAAGCTAAAAGAAGTGTTTGGAGTGCCTGTGAGCTGTGTGACTGTGAAGGGTTACTTGCACTTGGTGCTTGGAACACGAGTGAGTTGCTTGTCTTGTGCGTGACTTTGGTCTTTTACGGCCTGTGATGGCCACGAAGGCCAGGAGATAGTTTTGGGTGGAGTTCTCAAAGGTGTCCACTCGCTCCACCACAATACACTCCATGGCCTCCTGCGTGGTCAATTCCGTGGCTGGGTCATAGAGGGTCACCCCTACTGTGCCGATGCTTCTGCGATAAACTGGTGTTGCCCTCGTAAAAAGCAATTGGCTCCAGGTAGTGAGTGCCTGGGCTGCCCAATTTCCAAACGGCCTGCTCGCTGAAGGGAGAAGCGATGACAATCCTTTGCTGTCCGTTGGAATGACAGGCACCTCCGACTCATGGAGGATTTGGTCACGGCCCGAATACTGCATTCTGAGCCTTTCCGGCCAGCGATTCTTAATGGACTTCCTGTAAACTGAACCCACAAGTGGGTGGCAATGGGCTCCTGCGGCTCGGGTCCCACTACATAGTAGGGAACAAGTCTCACCGGGGGAGGCCCCTTGTGCGCAGAGTCCTCTGACTTCATAGTTGGGCCTGCCACATCCTCCCCACTGCTCCTGGCCCCCTCACCTCCCTTGCCTGGAGGATTTTGACCGGAGGATCCCACCTCCCCATGGCCTTTGCCTCCTGCTTTAGCCCCTTGTGCAGGGATGAGTTCATCTGAACTTGACTCGGGCGGGGTTTGCGGTTCGAAGACAACGCAACTGTGGTTTGTTTTCGACTGAAACTTTTAAGGGCACAATTGTTCCAGGTTACGATCCTCCCGCTCACAGAGTTGGAGTCTACGAAACGCGACACTGATTCCAAGTCCTGGTCATCAGCGAGGATCTCTCTCTTAGCAGGAAACGCCTGGACCTTGTGCAGCCGCTGCCCATCCTGAAGTGCGTAGTGAGAGTCCGTCCCACCTGGAACCTCACGCTCGAGAACCCCCCTGACCTACCAGGGCAACCCTGCTCCATCTGGGCCTCATACCGCTGGCCGATTTCTGTCTTGATGGTCAAAGTGGTACAAGCAATGGATACCTAGAATCCAGGGCCTTCCTTCTTACCGACTTTGTGGGACGTGTAGCAGATCCACGCATGACGGTGCGAAGAACGTTTACTCCTGAAGCAACCATCTTCATGCATTTACAAATCCACTCCCCCACGGGGGAGCCTCTTCAGCTACTGCGTGTTGGAGACCGTCCCCTTAACGCGGAGGGAGAGCAGCATGATTTCAACCTGACGCAAGACAATTAATCATTTGCAACAATTGCGTGCTGGTCAGCCTGCGTCGGCTCAAATCTAGGGAGGGGGGGAGGGGCATCCGTACGCTCTCTGTTGATAGCAGTCGAGAGTGGCATGGCAAATAGTGAACCTCCTCGGTTCCATGTTGAGCGTCTCCTTCCCTTGCTAGATTGTGTTGGGCAAAGTAGGTCACACCGCGACCACTTGCAAGCGGGTCAAGCTTCCCCCGCATCTCGGGGAATTCCGCACCTGCAACTCTGTCCGGTTGAAGCACTTCGTGACATTCTTGCCAGTGCATGCACTGTCTGCTTGAGTCTTGGGTGCGTAATCACGCCGACCGAAGGTCTGTCGGAACCCCAGCAAGTGCTTGTTTGGCGAAGACATCAGTCCATATGGGGATGCAATTATGTGCGCCTTCCCCACAATGCACCGGGGTATGAACGATATGAGGTCGCACTACCATCAGTCCGCGAGACTGCCATTGTGGCCTCGGTATGCAGAAGGTGGGGGGGAATTATTGCTGCTTGGGCTTCCCCAGGCGTTATGTGACCATGGCTGCAGTCTACCCTAGCACTCAACGCGCAGTGTGTGTCACTCGGCTAAGCTGCTCCCACCTTTTCATTAGACTCACGGCAGTGAGCTACTTGATCTCAGCACTGCCAGGATGAAGGGTATGCTTACCATGCCTGAAAGTGAGTACGCCCGCACTCACACGGCAAACAACTTGCATCTGACCCTCAGGCAGCTTGGTAACAGCAGCACCTCGCTTACAGAACACGGCAATCAATCCACCTTGCCTTAGGGTCCACCTCGCGTGACGCTCATGTGTCCCGTCCTACCCATTTTGCTACCCCCCCTCTACGAGGGGTCGGGTCCTACTCCTCTAGCCTCTGGGCATGTCCGGCACGTAAGGGCGCCCGCACTCACACAGCCGGTAGCTTGGGGACCTTGCATTTGTGCTAGGAGAAAATTGTGCCCAGAGCTGAGCAGCAAACCAGTAGGGTCGAGGTGATCAGCCCGGATTGCAGTGGCTTGTGCTATGCATCTTATTGGATCACAGCGAGTAGGCGCCCGCCTGCCCCCTCCTGAGAGATAATTTTCGTTTGCAACATGGCGGCCTCCCTTGTCTTGGGTACTCCTCGGCCAACGAGAAGGCAAATAGCGATTGGGCGCTGTGCTATCCTTATGAGCACCCGGAGGTCTTCTCTGGCGAGCCCATACTTGAGGGCGCAGCCTACACCTGCAGCGCTGGATGGATCAATCTTACCAAGCTGCTTGTCCTTCAAGGGATCAAGGAGACAATGGGGGCAGACAACCAATCTGAGCAAAGAATTGCGACCGCAACCGCAGCAGCGGAAATAGCCCACTCTGTTGGTGGCCACTTGGCTTGGCTTGCACACTATCTAAGGGGGTTATCGCCGACGACACGGGATGCATTGGCCAAAGGCTACGGGGCACTGCTAGCCATGTTCAGACGCCCGCCAGGCCCCCAGCAAGTAGCTGTTCTGGCCTGGGCTCGGGCGATTGTGGACAAGTCGCAAGCTGACTATCCGCTGTGTCTAATCAAGGCGCACCTTGAACAACATCTGCTGCGTGCATCTTACTCTGCGCCGAGCAGCTCATAAGGTTTATGTCTGCTTGCTAATCTGAAGCCTGGACTGCAGCGCTTGCATCATTGTTGTCATCGCCCTTCCGTCGGCTCAAAGCAGTAGGGTGGGGGGCGATGCGGGGAATTGCTGTTTGGACTTGGGGTGGGGCTTCTTCGGATTCCTTCGACCTTGGTTTGTCTGGTTTGATGCTTTGACTGCGCGGTTTGCGTTGTAACTCTAAACGGACTCTGCTTCTGGCACACTTGCCGCAGGTAGCTGTCGCCATGGAGGCCCATACGTGCCAGAGTTACGCCCTACAAGTGGGTTTTCCACTATTCAGGTTTGTGTGGCCAGAAGGGGTAACCGGTATGTTGCGGATCTTTTTCCCGGGCTCAGAAACGTTCTGGCGCAGGTCCATTCCGATGCCAACAATGAAATGGGCACCGAAAATTGCATTGCAGCGCTGTCTATTTTCAAAGGGGGCGAAGATTGGATGGCTGATCCTACTGGCGATGTGGATGGACTTTGGAGGGAGAGATGTTCAAGGCGTGCGGGCGCTGGTTGATGCTGCGGGTTTTCGCTTTGATGGGCATCGATTGCATGCGACCTTGCCATGGGTTGGGCGCCGAGATGTAATGGTTGCCTACATGCCCCGGGGGATGGAGAAGCTCAGCGCTGAGGACAAAGCTTTCCTTGTTGACTCTGGCTTCAGGTTAGAAAAAGGAGGGCTGAAAGCGTTAAAGCGTGGGGGCAGCGACGTCAGAGTAGTGGTGGGTGTGTATCGCACCCCGGAGCAGTTTGTCCAAGAGAATTTTCAGCTCGGGCACCCAACTGAGCTCGACTCACTTGTCCCACCAGAGCTTAAAGTGGCAATCGAACACAACCTAGCGGAGGGAGAAGCAGAAGTGGCAAAGGAGCGGACGGCCATCTTGCGAGAGTGGATTGCTTGGTCGTCTGAGCTGGCCCTTGCAGAAGAATCCCTGAAGGAGGACATGCCCCCTTTCAGGAGGCAGGTTCTTTGCTCAAGAGACTTCTAGTCTTAAAACGAGCTTTGGAGTCGATTGGCCATGAGGATGTTGGTTTGGTGGATGACATCAGCCGTGGCTTCGACTTAACTGGATAACTGCCCAGGTCGAACGTGTTCTTGAACAAGTTTAGGCCGGCAGAGCAGTCGGAGGCTCAGCTGCGCACAGGAGCTAAACGGCTCCGGGATGGTTTGCTGGCTACAGTGCGCAGTTCTGGCGATCCTGCCATCGATGGCGGCGTGCTGGAGGCGACGTGCAAGGAGTTGGCGAGAGGCTTCATCGAAGGTCCAGTACCACTTTCAGCTTTGCCTGAGACGGCTTCGCTGACTCATCGCTTTGGAGTCCACCAGGGCCAAACCGAGGAGGGTCCCCGTATTCGTCCCATCGACAATTACCTGTCTTCACAGGTCAACGCTTCTGTCACTCAGGTCGAGCAGGTGCCAGTTCACACGATTGACATCGTTGCTGGTGTGCTTATACTTTGGGTGAGAACCTGGCTGTCTATGGGAGGTTTGGGGCCAAGCTGCCCTTTTTGCAAGGCTTGGGATTTACGTTCTGCGTACAAGCAGCTACCTTTATCAGATGTCGCCTTTGCTTTGGACAGCTTCTTCGTGATGTTCAACTGCGAGAGTGGCGGGCCGGAGATATTCCGACAAAGAGTCTTACCGTTCGGATCGAAAGCTAGTGTGACGGGTTTCATCCGGTGTGCTTTCGCTTTGTGGCGACTTGGTGTAAAGCGGCTACGCTTAGTGTGGTCAGTCTTCTTTGACGACTACTTGAGTGTATGTGGCAAGGAATTTTCAAGGCACACTGATTTAGTCATCACTATGTTTTTCAAGATATTTGGCTGGGATGTCGCCATGGACAAGTCTCTGTCGTACAGTTCTCTTTGCGTGGCGCTGGGAGTGCAGCTCAACTTGAGTGATGCCAAGCTTGGGCTTGCCTACATCGGGAACACGCCGAAGCGCAGAGAGGAGACGCTAACTGCTCTTGAGGTCGCTCTTCAAAAGGGTGAGCTGGGCCCCAAGACTTGCGAGAGGCTTCGTGGACGGTCGCAGTTCGCGAGTTGCCAAGTTTTCGGTCGGCGCCCGAAGGCGGCGCTCAAGCAGTTGGGCGCTCATGGGCGCCAAAGGCAGTGGAAATTGTCTGATGAAACTCGGCGAGCTCTCAACCTTCTAAAAGAGCTCCTTGCGACCGGACGCCCTCGGGCACTGCGTGCAACTGCTGGCAAGGTCTTCCACGTTTACGTCGATGCTGCTTTTGAGCCGAATGGGTTCGGTGGTATAGGCGGTTTAGTTGTAGGCGAAGGTGGGCAGATCCTCGCGTGGTTTGGTGAGCAGATACTGCCGAAGGATCTGTCGCGTCTGAGGACGACGGCTGATGGAGAAAAGGAGACAGTAATTTTTGAGTTGGAGGCTTTGGCTCTTGCACTTTCCATTGAGGTTTTCAAAGCCGTCTTAAAGGATAGCTCGACTGTCTTCTTTACTGACAATGAAGGCGTCTTCGGCACCTTTGTGAGAGGACACAGCGAAGTGAGGAGGCGTGCTCAGATTCTTGATTTCTTTTGCCAGCGTGAGGAGGAGTTGGGAATCACATGTTGGCTGGAGAGTGTTCCTTCAGCCTCGAATCCAGCAGATGCTCCGTCACGCGGTGAGATCATCAAGACAAAAGGACAACGCCTGAAAGTGAGTAGGGCGCTGATGCAGAATGCGCTAAAAGACGCGTTCCTCTGACGCCGCTTACGGCACTTGTGGCATGGGGCGCGGGATGTGCCGCAAGTCAAGGCGTCATGCCTGTAGTGTGCGCCAAGTGTGATCGCCAATCGGTATTTCCCCATGCTACCTTCGTGGAAGAAAAGACAGCGTGTGCTGCGTGGTTGAATGAATCAGTTTTGGGATGCATGTTTTTTTTTTGATAGAATGGATGCCTTATCATATTTCTTGAGAAGCGATGTACGTTTCAGCCTGGTCTCCCAATATTGAATATAAGGATTTGCTCCCGGACCCGACCCGTTGATAGGGATACTCTCACCTGGATTACAACTTGAACACCAACACCTGTTTATAGCGATTCTCCTTCCAGCCCTGAGCTAATACCTGTTGGCGCGGGCAACATTTCTTGAATAGCTTGTTTATTTCTCCACTACTTGCAACATCTGCTTGTTTTGAACGCCTCTCGAACGCCAGCCCGGGGAAGAAAAAGAAAACCGGGGGCCCGCATCACGGAGCTTCCGTTTCAGCCCCTGGCTATCAATTTTTTCATTTTACAGGGTGGTATATCTTGTGGGTCTGCTGGTGGTGACTGTTAGTGTGGCCCGGCCGGACCCAATTAATGTGTGTTTATCGCTGCGCAAACAGCCGCTGCTGGAATGTGGCATGGGGCTTTGTGGCCACCCGTGATCTCTTTGAACGTGTTCAAGACTCGACATGAGCCAGACGTTCCATCATCACAATGCGTTGCGTCCGTTTGATGTGGTTCTGCCATTTTCGTGCCACCCGAAGGCCTCGGCTCAGTTCTCCGACGCTGTTTCAACCATAGAAAACCCAGCGCCGGAGCTGCCCGAGGATGTGCCAGAGGTGGATGGTAGGGAGTCGCAAGATGCTTGATACTGCTTGGGCCATTGGTGGTTCCCAGAGCCTTTCGAGGTTGGTAGTCGGCCAGTCCGCGACCACATCACCACGCCCTACGCGCCAGCAGCTGCTGCCTTGTCTGAGGCCGATCCGATACATTTCAATCTATTTCAATGCCAACACATTCTGATAATTTGTCAGCTGAAGTTGACACAAGTTGACATATGCTGCCAGACCCTTGCAGGACCGGCGGTGGTGTCGACAGTCGAGGACGCGTGATGTTATGGGACTCAGAGGACATGTCTACAGAAGCATTAAATCATTAAGTCTTGATTGTCGAGGAGTTTGAAGTACAAGGCAATGAGACGCTCCGATCGAGCAGAGACAGGACGGAACGCATCAAACACGTGCAGAAGTCTTGCAACTCAGCCAGTTTGTTTTGAGGTGTATTCTGGTCAGCCCGGGATACATCGGGGGTTTTCTCGCGAGTACGGCACCCACTACATACCCCAACCCATTCCTCGATGTTCACCTCTTTTCGGCCAGCAGGGTGCGCTGCCATCACTTGTGTGAGCGGATGCCAACTCCCCACGTCGGTGCCGAGATCATTGAGGATGGGTTCCTGTTAGTGTAGTCAAATACATTTGTGGTCCATTTGTGGTTGGTCCTTGTCAGGAGACCTTCGCAGACACTGCAAAAACTCTTCGGACATTTCCTGCAGTGGAGATCGAGGCCCAGATTGTTCACGACAGACAACTTGGAGTGCCGGGCACGCGTTTGAGCTAGAGATATGTAGCAGAACCCAAAAGGGTCGTACTAGTTACAGTGCGCAGGGAGGCGACCCATGATGGTATGGGTGTGGATCGTTTCGTGTTGGGGGCTAGGTGATGGGGAAGCTCCACGCTGAACCGGGGGGGATAGGTGCGGAAAGAAGGAAGGAAGGAAGGAAGGAAGGAAGAGAGCATCATAGGCACTCATGGGAGGAGACCGTGTGACATGCACATTTCGGGTGACCCCAGGGAGCTAGGCGTGCTGTAAGAAAGGAAGGATGGCAAGCAGGCAGGAATGAAAGAAGAGGTGACCGATAGGACATGATAGGACTGACGGACAGGGGGTCGTTTTCACTGGGTATAAAGGCGAGGGAGCAACGAGGGAGGAGGAAGCGGCAACTCCACATCCGTCATTATCCCTCAAGCGGAGCCGGACCAGCTACACGCCAAATATCATACGACCTGTTCTTGTAGCCATCCCACCTGATGATACTGAAGGCCGGTGCCGGAACAAACCCACAATGCCGAAACAAGGAAAGAGGGAGTAAGCTGTTCTCACCCTTTTCGTGCCGGGAGTTGTTTCTGTTGCTTGTCCCTAGGCTACGAGTCCCCGCTTTTGTGTTGGCCGTGGAAGGTCCCACTATGGCACAACTCCAACAAAGTAGCACAACCACCATCCCTGACACCCACAACATTAGTGGGAACACATGTCTCACAGTAACCGCCTTGAACAGCCCACAACAGGATCTGTCGTTCTCATACCCCGTGGCCTAGGAGATCATGCCAACCTTTGCAGCCCTGGCAGATCCGATACTTTGCAGGTAACCGTATTGGTGAGACCACGTGATGGGGGTAGATGGGAGGTAATTTGGGGTGTCCTGGAAGTCCACGGGTGGTCACCTAACAATAGCACAAAGGTGTGGAGTCAATGTACTAATGGGAGCCTGAGAAGTTTTGGTGAGTGTTGATGATTCCCTAAAACCCTCAACCCTAAACCCTAAACCCTAACCCTAAACCCTAAACCCTGAACCCTAAACCCTAAGCCCTAAGCCCTAGTTGTCTTGTAGCTTCTCAATCCGCAACCCTATAAATAAACCCTGCTTAAACTCCCGCCCTGAATCCCTGCGGCATGCCAGCAAGTCCCCATTCCCAGTCGGTTTAGGGTTTAGGGTTTAGGGTTTAGGGTTTCGGGTTTAGGGGGCATGTGTCACGGAGAGGGGCTAATATCGGGGCCTTCATTGTTAGAAAAGGGTTTTGGTGGCCATTATTTAATCATTCTAGTAAAACTCTATAGGGACAATGAGGGAATACTATTCGTATTTTTTCTGACCCTGAATTAGGGAGTTGGCGGTTTCAGGGGCCTGAAAGCCGTCGTGTTCTCGTCTTTGCATCCATCGCTGCGGGCCACCTTTAAAGTCAGGTGCCACCCTCTCGTATCTGTAGAGAGGTGCGAGGTGGATTCTGCAGCTGTGTCTGGGAAAGTCTTTTCCTGCGTCCCCTTCGGTGTGCTGAGCGCCTTCATGCGGGGGGCGCAGCGTGCTGCAAGGGGTTCGGCACGCCCCTTGGGAGCCGGGCAGCTGTTCCAAATCCCTTAAAACGATTGAAATGCGCACGATGACAACGAGGTAGCTCGGAGCCCTCTGTTGTAGTTGGGCCCGGCGACCTTGCGCCATATAATGTGGGCACGAGCTCCTGGTGTAAGGTTTCGGGCTTAGGGTTGAGGGAGGGTTGCGGGTTTAGGGTTGAAGGTTTTGGGTTTAGGGTTGAGGGTTCAGGGTTTAGGGTTGAAAGTTTAGGGTTGACTTATTACAAGGCTGCCGCTCTCGTTTAAGGGACCCAACAAGGGACCATAATTTAGAGAACTGACCATGTAAACGGAAAATGAGGGGTTTAGGGTTTAGGGTTTAGGGTTTAGGGTTTAGGGTTTAGGGTTTAGGGTTTAGGGTTTAGGGTTCAGGGTTCAGGGTTTAGGGTTTAGGGTTTAGGGTTTCGGGTCAATATCTTTTATTACATACAAAGTGTATGTCTTCAACGATACGATTCGTATCTGCTGACTAGAGGAGTTCGCGGTTTTACTGGAGGAGCCAGTAAGATGTGGTGATAGACCCTAAACCCATCAACCCTAAACCCCCCTCAAACCCTCAAACCCTCAAACCCTCAAACCCTCAAACCTAGAGATCAGGGCTTGGGGTGGGCTTGTGGTCTAGGGTCTACGGTGAGGGTCTAGGGTTTAGGGTTTAGGGTTTAGGGTTCAGGGTTTAGGGTTCAGGGTTTAGGGTTTAGGATTTCGGGTAAGGGTTTAGGGTTGAACACAAACATAGAGCAATAAACTAAACCCTCCTAAACCCTAAGCAATGGTCTCGGAATCCAGCAGAACGCAAACTTTGACGGCAGATCAAAGCCCTTGGTTTAAGGTTTAGAATTTGGGTTTAGGGTTTAGGGTTCAGGGCTGACAGCCTTACATCGGCCCCTGCGCTGTACAGCGTCGGGTGGCAAGCTGCTTGTCAGCTTCCCCTCACGACGCGGACATGCAGACTCGGTTTCTGACAAGGGTGGCTCCCTGCGCTCGTCCTGCTGCAGGGCCGAAGTAAATATCAGGTTTAGGGGACACGAGATTTTGAAAGTTTAATAATCTATGGAGTATGTGGAGAATGTGTTTTCGCTATAGTTTAGCAACCATAGCATTATTGATCTGTTTTAATGTTATGTTTGTAGCCTAGGTTGGTATAGATATTGACCTAGATTTTGTGTGGTAGTTGGGAAATGGACCTAGGTTGGTGGGGATATTGCCCCGGTTGGTGGGGATATGGACCTAGGACGGCGACACGCAGTGATAGTAACCGAAAGCTATTACCTTATTCCTAAACCTTACTTATTCCTATTATAGATATTTTCTTAGAGAATACCATGTCCATTTTCAAGGGTTGGGGAATATGGGTTGGGGAATACGGGTTTTCTATGGGAGTGCGGGTGTATGGGGTTGAGGATGGGGTTTTTCTATGTGGGTCTTTTTATGGGTTTTCTGGTGGTTCCATGGTATGGGTATTGGCGTGACTCTTTTGGTGAGTTTAGGGTTGAGGTATAGGTTGTTGTGGTTTTGGGTCTTGGGTGGCCTAGGGGGTGGGCATTGTTAGAAAATGGAAATGGTCTCCACTAACTGGGGGGGGGGGGGGATTAAGGATTAGGGCGCTGGGGGTTTTCGGGCTTAGGGCTTAGAGCTTTGTACTTAGGGCTTAGGGTTTCGGGATCAGACAAGCAGTGCCGTGAGACAACCAATTGGAGTTCAACGAGCTCACCCTAAACCCTAACTCTAAACCCTGAACCCCGAACCCTAAACCCTAAACTCTAAACCCTGAACCCTAAAACCCTACACCCTAAAGCTTGTTTGGGTGG